AAAATGAGGGGAAAAATCCAATTTCTGGCGTCTTACAGGACTGTGCTTTTGCTTTGACTATCTTCCCCACAAGTTAAACTAAATGTAATAGCATAGTTTTGTAGAGCTTCAAAAGAGCTATTGAATAGTACCTTACTCAAGTAGGATCTGTATTTCTTTCGTACCTTAATATTGGACTTCTATTAATATCAATAAAATGTCACATAGTAGTGTGCAAGGTCATCTCAGGAAAACAATGAAAGAAGAATATTTTACCACACTATTTTATATCATTCGATAGCGAAAAAAAACAAACTTTTATTTGGTATTTTACTCAAATTAAAGGATGTTAACAGAGTCAATATACTTTATGGAAACACAGCATATTGCAACTGGCCAGGTAATAGACAGTATCAATATTTTTGCCCCCCCCCCCCCCCGCCCCATACATAGCTATGACAAAGGCTAATTCACTAATTCAAACGTTAATCGACTATTTGAAAAATATAAAACTCGATTTCAGGAGGCGGTCTATTTCATCGATTAACGACCCTTCTCGTTTGAACAATCAAGAGTTCAAACGTGACTTGTGACATTTTACTATTGTAGAATGATATGAAAGAGAAAAAAATGTCGATCGATTTTTTATAACTACTGCTCTAATAAGTGAGATTTCTTTGAGGATAAAGTTTCAGATGAGTTTATTGAGTTTTTCTTTTGAAAAGTCCAGAAATATGAACTAAAACCTTCACAAAGCAGCAGTAGATAAACATTTTGGCTCTCTAATCCAAGAAAATCGAAACCGGCTGCAGAGCTCTATATGCCATAAGATAGAGCGTTCGACGCTCTACAAAACCTACTAGACCACAATTCACCCAAATTCGGAAGGGGTTTTTTATTAGAAGATGAAGTTTGTGTAGCAGTGAATTTGTTGTGGTCTTATTAAAATATTCCTTAAAAAAGGGAAACATTTTGAATCATATATGGTTCGATAGAGCGGATCACGGGCTATCAGATTATGTATAAGATGTTTCATTTTGTTATTGAAATTAAAGAGAAAATGTTCTCGCAAAAATGAGAACTTTTCACTTTAACCATGATTTTCCGGAATTTTTGAAAAATGTATTTTGCCTATTTCTACCCTAATCCATAATCAAACCCATAATAATTTATTACCAAAATGATCAGCTCATCGAGCTCTACAAACTCTGAAAATTTCAGCCAATTCTGAGAAAGTCATGTATAAAGTGGTACGTTTCCCATGGAATTAGTCTATGCTTTTACGCATCTTTTTGAATGTTTAATGTAAATCTTTGTGAGCTTTCATCTTTGATTCTAACCTTTCGGTTTCATCTTTTCATTTGCACAATTTTCTATTTCGTCTGTTATATTCTAAACTCCCTTACTTTTATCATGCAGCATTTTCTGCGCTGTGTGTTTTCTATGTTTAACCTTACAGAACGTCTTCTTCAAAGTCTATAGCTATTTCATTTCAAACTATCTCATGAAAAAAGAATTGTGTTCATTTTTTCGACACCACGAGTTTTTAGCGGTTCTAAAAAGAAGCAACACATCTCTCAGAACATCATGCGGAAAACATCTTACAACCAAACAAAAGAAGTAACAAAATGCGTTCATAATAATCACAGCACGCTCAATCTTATGTTAACAACATGTTCTTACTGAAGAATATAAATGATGTCATATATCCTATATAGTCTTCATTTTTTTCGAGTGCGAATTTTGCAAGCATAACTTCTATAGACCCTCAAGCTCCCTGTTTCAGTTGGAAATTGAGTACTTTTTTCTTTTGAATTCAGATTGAAAGTGAATATGTCCTTGAATGCTCTTTCAAGGTATCTTTTTTGCTTTAATTAACAGATAGATAGATAGATAGATAGATAGATAGATAAATACATAGACATCTGTATAATTAAAAGATATATATGTAGATCGACAGATCTATAGATATGCTAGTATATGGCTAACTAAATAGATTTACCAAAACAATGTCAACAGTAGAAAATATCAAATCATAGAAATATCGAAGAAAAACGTTGTTCTCTGTCTCCATTTGACGTTTGACTTATTTATTTAAGCAGAATTTTTATACTGTGACATATTATCTGTCAATCGAATTTAAGCTTACCAGCTTATTAGTTAGATAATTACACAGTGAGATAGTTAGTATAGTAGGCTTGTAATTAGATAGATAGTTAGACATTTAATGAAGCAGATATTTAGGCAAATAGTAATGTTGATAGTTAGATAAGTAAATTGAGCAGTAATTACATAGTAAGTTCGACACGTAGTTAAAGAGATTGTTACCGTCTATTGTATAGTTAAGTGGCAGCAGAAATTTTTTGAGTAACTGTAAACAGTAAGAACTAAGCAGTTTATGGGTGTCCAGTCTTGTCTAAAATCGACAGAAAATTCTGTGTTGCCTTTCTTATTGAGTACGTAGTGAGAGTCTTGACGATGATATCTGCCCGGTTGAGACAAAAAGTTACTTCCAATTGCAATATAACGCTTGAAAAGATTTCTTATAACTTCAAGTTTTGAAAAATTATGGTGTACAGTCTGTAATAAAATCTCTTTTCCTTTCGAATGAAAACAATTAGTGCTTTCAGTCTTGTATTGCTTGACAGAGGAGATACTAATCTTTCTAATCACAATATTACACTTGGAGACTCATATTTTATCTAGGTCGAATTGTAATTGTCTTGAAAACTCGTCACATGTCCAACACGAAAAGTAAGAGAATTCATGATTGTCTATGTAAAGAGATAGAATAATGTCAGTTATAGATAGTGCTAAAAACCCGAACTCTAATTCTTGTTCTTTATTCACAAAAAAGTGGAAGTACGCTTAAAATCTGCATAGACGTTAGTTAGATGAACGTATGGATGGATAATAAGTTAAGTAGATACCTGTTTTTAGATATATAACCAATTGATAGAAGGATATAGTTAGACCGATAATTAAAAATAGCTACTCAGGTAGATAAATGGATAGTTAAGTAAGTAAATGTATAGTTAGACCGGCAAATAGTTAGATAGGTAGATACATAGTTAACTGAGCAAATGGCTAGTGGATAATCAGTGAGATAGATAGGAATAGAGATAAGTAGGCAGATAACTAGGCCAATAGACGAATCGAAAACGTATTCGCAGACAGATAGATAGATTGCTTTATGTATTTGTTTGTAAGTTGATCGGTAGAGAGATAGATTTGTTTATCTGTGTACCAATTATTATTATCATATGAACGCTTAGATGGTAAAAAAATCGTGGAAACAAACACAAATTAGAAATGAGTGAAAATAAGAACATAATGCTGTGATATCGTAACGCAAGAAAAATTTGATCATTTTAGGGTGCTAAGTGTGGCTCCCCAATATGAATCAGGAATGCTTACAAAAGGTAAGTATGAAAGCGATCAGAAATCTGTAACATATAGACTATCAAAAGGTTTAGACTGCATGAGAAGTGATCATTTTCATGCCATATTTTTCTAAATTTTTTCGAATGACAATTGAGAATCGCGATTGGTATTCAGCAACGATCGAGATGTTTGTTATAAGCGTTTCTCTGCTCTTCTTCATTTTTTTCTCTTGTTGCGTGTTGCCATCAATTCGCAGCTATGGAAATTCACTAAATTTCCAGCGACGAATGTTTCAAAAAGATTGAAAATATACTCATTCATGAAACAATGGAGGATGATCTTGTTAATGGAGTATGGATTCTTTGCCTTCTCGAATGCATGCAATAGTATCCAAGCAGACAAGAATTTCTAAAAATGCATAAAAGCATCCTTATCATGTGTGTTTAAACGTTTCATGTCTACTCAGAAAACACAAAACTAGCTATTTTCATTATAAGAGATAGGAAAAGATGCTTACAAAGGCAGTATTGACATCTGGAAAATACTTCCACAATATTTATGACTCACCCCAACATAAGAAAGTCATTTTCATTCACAAAGCACGTCAGAATATTCCGAAAAAAAGGTTCCACGTTTTCCAGATGCTAAAATTACCTTTGTCAGGATTCTCACACAAACTTAATATTGAAAGTAGCTGGTCTTGGTATTTTCTGAAGAGACATGAAAAAGATCTAACGAGAACCATGACTAGGATATTTAAACGCATTTTTAGAAATTCTTGTTTGCTTGGACGGAGATAAAGTGTCCTTCTACTAGATAAATGCTTTCTTGTCGATTCAAAATCGTTCTTTATCTATATGGGAAGCGTTCTACATCAATCTATCAAGTACTAGAATATTTTCTAAGTCGTTCTTGTTAGAATACCAAAGAAAGTATTTCATATTGCTAAGAGTATTTTCTATTTCATCATAATGACAAATTATGAACGAGTATATACATCATGGCCTTTCTTGTCCATAGATCATCATTCTAGAAAGTAAGTTCAAATGGAAAAATGTTTTCTAAGTCAATCAAAAATATAGTTTTTACAAAAAAAAAATGCATTCTCGTTGATTTTATCAACTTACCAAGCATATGTTTTTTTGAAAAGAATGCTGAAAATTTCAATCGATATTCCTCAACACTTTAAACGAAATTAAACGTTCATCATAGTGTTAATGTCGAACACTGACGAAAATAAATTTATCATTGTCTCGAAAGAACTTAGCAGACTGAGTTATAGGTAGTAATAAAGAAAAATATTAGTAAGTTAAATAATTACATATACGCTAAAAATGATAAGTACAAACAATATTAATCACAAAAATATTCAAAATATATGCTAGTAATGCAAATAGATTCGTTTATTTCTTGAAGGATAAAATTACAATGGCTTATTATGGTAATATTTGCTTTTTTTTTTCTTGCGAAATTTATTTTGGTCATACTAGTATATACATTTTCAAATTTAACGCATTGTACTTATACGAACAGAATAGATAAAGAGAAACAATAGAATGAAACCTAGAATATTTTTTTACTTTCATTATACTTTAAGTATACAAGATCTTGAATGAGAAGTAGTTAATTATCTTAATCAGTCTCGGGAATATAATTAAACGAAATTCATTAGTATCTATTTCTTTATACTTGAGCTCTCTTCCACTTTTTATCTTCTTCTCGCAAGTATCACAAACATAGAGCTTCTCTCATTTGAACATAATTATCGACAAACTTCAAGCGATTATCTTGTCTACTAATGTTCTAAATAATGAACGATACGAGAAAAGATTTTAATTGTAACAAACTCATCCTCTTGCAGCTGTCTATATTCATGAAGACTAGATGACGTCAAGAACAGCTCACTATACATTCAGATTTACTCATCAAATTCTTCTGAGTTAGATTATATCTGAAAAGAATATTTTTTTTAGTAAGTTCAACTAAAAATATCTGCAGAAAAAGTATCATCGCTGCACATTTTGTCGTACAATTTCAATATTTTTAGAACAATAAAAGCTAGAGAGTTGAAGTTTTATCATTAATATAACTGTTTTTGACATTTATGCAATCTGAAATTATGATTGAAGTCAGAACAACTGTTCTTCAGTTATAGATTAAACAAGTTTCAAAATATCATCATATAAAATGAGTAAATACATTTTTTTTTGAACTCTCCAAGCCCTTCCTTTTTCTCCTGATATAGAAATAAGAAAAAAATAAATATTTTTATATAAAACCGTTATTCAAAGAGTTCTCTTTTGTTGAGTATATTGGTTTGTTATTCAAGCTCTTCTTCGTATGTAGGAGTAGCAGTCTGTGTAACTATACAGGAAAAAGAAGAAGTGCCTGTCATCGAATGTCGAGAGTAGAAGTATACAAACAGAAAGATGCGTAGACTTGTGAATCATATGTTTTGATAGAACCATATCCAACCTACAAAATGGCCCATTTGTACTTTCTTTTCTACTTCTTTCTTATCTCAAACAAACGTCTTCTTTACACACGTTTCATTAAAAACTGCTATTTTTTTCTAGCTGTAAACCTTGAAACTTAGGAAAGATATAAGATAGTAGAAACATGAAATTTCATGTAAGAGATTAACAAGAGAATAGAATTAAAAAAATAACTTTTAAATGATTCGATAGGAGCGAAATTGATAGCGTGGATACTCTAAAATACTATTTGTAGAAAAAAATGCAATTTATTCATATATATATATATATATATATATACTTAGCATGAAACACGATAATTCTTTTTATTGTATTATTTTAACTTCAAAGTAAGTAACTATTATTTAATTTAATCTAGTTTTGTGGTTTTTTTACTTTATTCCTTTTTTTATCAATTGTATGATTTTCTTCATAGAATATTTTTTCTTTTTCTTCATATCATCTTTCCTATTTTATGTTACTTTTTCTATAGCATTCCATCTTTTTTTTTATTTCAAAAGTTTTAATTATTTTCTTACTGCATGACTTTTTCCACGTTTTTTTGTTTTTACTTTAATAAGAAGATTGGTAAGTGGGCTATTAATATAGCTGATAACTAAATAGCCAAATAAGTAGATAAACAAAGCGGAACATGATTTCCGTCATTCTTTCAATGAGGATGGATAAGAACGATTTGCTCAAAGAATTGAACCTTGTATAAGCCGTTTGAAAAAGAAATGACGAACAACACATTCTTCATCGTTTCACATAATTTTTCACTGAGATCAAGCATAGAAAACACAGACATTGTCGATTTCGACCTTTTATCAAACAGTCTAATCATTGACAAATATGTTTCATTTTTCTTCATATCATTTGAGATGCTTAATTCTAT